TCTTAAACGTCGGAAATTATTCTTTGTAGTATATGAAAATTGGTACTACGTAAGCAAAAAATATATAAACGAATCGATAAGAACCGCTCGATTCGTTTATTTATTCGTTAACGAATTACCGAATTAATTATGTAATTTTTAAGATCGTCGGGTCACTTTGTCGACGCACATGAAGCATATACACACACACACACACACACACACACACACACACACACACACACACACACACACACACGGGACAAACGAAATAAGGGAGATTTGTTTCGTTTGTCCGGTTATTAATTTTTTAATTATGCCGGTTGTTCGAGAAAAATTGAGTTGTTTTTATTGTTTATTCGTATTTTACAACGATAAAAGTTGTCGATCAAAGTGATCCGCCCGAAAAAAACGATTATGTAGATTATTGAACTCTATCCATTAATGGGGGATTCGTGTGTTGAGATACTCGACCGTGTAGTAGTTGTATGTACTCCACCGAAATCTGCGGATGGTTAAATTCATGATTTTCGTAGATGGACACAAAACCCCGAACCTTCACTGTTGATGCGACTCTAAACTTATTATAGAAGAAATGCACCATGAAATTGAATAGACATTTATGTTTCAATTACGATTAAAAATCTGTCTTTAGTATAGGTATGTACTGAGATACTAAAACGGAAATGCATATACAATATGTCCGGGGTTTAATTATTTTATTTACTCCTTAATTGCTGCGTGTGTACGAGTGGAATTTCATTTAATACTTTCTCTCAATTCTGTCGTCGATTTCTGTGCATCTATGTGAAACGCTGCGGACATTAATGAACAACGAGACGAGAAGAAGAATTTGTCTTCTTAATTAGACGCACACATCGATAAACTAATTGTCGGCTTAGGATAATTGTGGCCGACTATGTGTAAGGTATATAAAATGTAGAATAAATAGAAAAATGTGAAAATATTAGGTGAATTTTTCTTTTATTTCTTTTTATCTGGATTCTAGATAATCGACATCCCCTTATTCTTCTGCCTTTTCGAAATTTATAATTTAACAGTACACCCCTGTCTTTTGGGTTGCCCAAAGAGTCATCTCGGATTTCTACAATACACGATACTTTTCTTATTTCAATACAAAGCTCTGCTTGCGAATTCACAAACTGTACCTATAGGCCTATATGTATTGTACATAGGTATGTAGGTACATACATATTCCCGAAATTGACACTTGAACGCGTCGTTTAGAAACAAAAGAATTACTTACGACTGGCGTTAAATTTCCTACAGTTTACAGTTTACAGTTTACAGTTACCATCAACATGTATAGGGAATCATTTTTTCCCCTTTCGGTAATAAAAAGAAAAGCATAACTTGCTCGAAAGTGTACACTTTCTCGTCACTCATTTTTCAAACAAGGTGAAAACAAGGAAATTTAACGTTTGCTACGAGAACCACATAGAATGTCAGTTTCTAAAAAAAGTGGACTTATATACATATACGTATACATATATGTTTTATCACTTAGGAGCAGTGTTTTACATTGAAAAATAAAAAAAAAAGCATTATTTACGACCGCGTTATGTCTTGGCGTGGACTAGGTGTATTTATTTATTTATCATTAAATTCGTCCATTGTCCAACGGTGTTGATGGTCCATTTATACTAGGACGGAACAAGCCTTCGGCGAACTAGGTAGGGGAGACCAGGGCTGGTAGGCCAGATTTTCAGTGTTTTATTTTAATTGAATATTATTCGTTTTTGCGTAAATTTGCGCGAATTACAAATATACTCATCGGAATGTGCGTCGCAAAGTTATTAACCATTAGTCAACCTATCCTTATATTATGTGGACAACCAACCGCGGACTTCCCTAATATTGATTGTTTCATTTGGAACATTCGAAAGAATATTTTTCTTCACTCGTCGAAGGCTCGTCGATGATTCATCCGATGTTAGGTCCACCCTCTATGTCCCAAGTAGGTATGTATGTATGTCCATATAAATGGATTTTTAAGGAGGGACGAGGCTCTCGAGAAGGGATGCGCACGGTATCCTTTGAGTTCCACAGGAAAATTAGCTGAAGATTCGTGAGGGGGTAACCTGTCGATCGTCAACCGTAGATACGCGCCTCCTGTGGGCCGAGAACAACTGGAAAATATATCTAGGAAAGACCTACGGTGTTAGGCGGTACTTAGGTATATCCAGGTATAGCACGCAGATGAACACGGTCGAAGAACCGATAACCAGATTCGATAAAACCGAAACCTGGTGAAGCGAGAGAGAGAGAGAGAGAGAGAGAGAGAGAGAGAGAGAGAGAGAGAGAATACAAGGAGGGTAAGCAGAAGCAGAACGATTCGCGATGGAACGATTAGATATGCAAAACAAGGACTTGGAAATCGGTCGCGTACACACACAAGCGGACCTCCTCCCGAGCGAGGAAAATCTGGTGACCGTATACATACATATACAGGGTGAAACAAAACGAATGGTTTTAGAACTTCTTGAATACTTATGTAGATAGTACTAGTCAACCGATGAAAATAAAGTCCTAAAATGAACATGGGTCGAACAATGAATATTTTCAAAGTTATTAAATAATTTGTTGTCTTTTTCTCATCAATTGTCGATCAAATCGATCGAGTTTCTCGCTTCGGGAGCTGTCGGTACCGTATGGATGGAACAATGAAGAAAATTGTAAATAAGAAACTAATAAAAAATCTGTAAAAAATCTTGTGCAACTAAAAAAAGATACAAAGAACGATAGCTCCCAAAGCTAGAACAAATACCACCCCGTATATTGTACATATGATCGACGTACGATTCCGATGGCTAACAAATTTTTCCTGGACGTGGTTTCGAATTGGCGGGAACTGATGGAGGCTTGTTACGTGTTTGCGTCGCACAGTGGGATATTTGACCAGAAAAGCTGGCCAAAATCCCAAATTTTATCTTTGTTCAAAATGAATGAAACTTTGTCTCTATGTCCCTAAGAATGAATAAAAGTAAACTGCTATCTTGGTTTTTCGAAAACACTCAGCATTTAGCAACAAATTCAGGCTTGAAAGTCAACAATTTTTGTGCTCGCAGAATATGCCAAGAAACCTATATTAATCAAGTGATTTATTACCAGTGTAGTGTTAAGGAAGTGCAATAACAACATATGTAGGATATAGAGGAAGCTATGTAGAGTAATTTGGCACCTTGTTTCCTTCACTTTTTTGTCTGGTTTTGATAAAATAACTTTTTGAAAACAGTGTTTTTTTTTTTTTTTTTCGTAAAATCAAGTATAAAACATTGAATTACTTTTTTGCACCCCAAAGCACCCCTTTGCTTTTGATATATTTTTATCCTTGGGCATTGCTTTATATATTTCTTGAAAAATTAGGTACTAAGAGGTGCTGAAACTACAGTTCTGTTTAAAAGTATCTCCTCACTTTTGCACTAGTGAAAAATTATTGAGATTCAATGTTCCATAACTTTGTTAATATTCGTCAAAATTTGTTTAAACGAAAGGCAAATTAAAGCTTAAACCTTCTACTTTTTTACTTTTCATTCGATTTTATTTAACTCTAAAGAGGGTCTTGAAATTGTAAAATTTTGTTGATATTTGAGAACGTATGTTTTGCTATTTGATTTTGTAACCAGCAGAAAAAATACATTAGGTATTTACCCGGTTTCGCCCCGCATTCCCCTACCTCATTCGTCCAGACAACGTTCACGAGGAACGCGATCCACCTCAAGAAGGTATATAAAGGCGGGGTCCAAGGAATGAAGTGGCTCACTCGTTCGAAAAACGATCGAGGGTTCAGAATCGGTCTGGAAGGACCTTCCGTGCGCTCCTCAGCCTCAGCCTTAGCTTTAGAGCTGCCTGGCCTCGTCAGACGCCGCCTGTTGTTCTACATTTGTGTTCCCCTTCTTTGGTCCCGTAGTTTCTCTGTACTACACAAGTGTGTACGATCTCCGAATTTAGTGCTTTAAATTCAATTTAACATAATCGAAAAGGAGGGGAAAATCGGGATATTGTCCATCGAAAATTGACGCGGAGGACCAAGAAAATGAATCGAGGAAAAATCACACCGAAAACAAACGAATAACAAGTCACTCCACGAAGAAGAAGAAGAAGAAGAAGAAGAAGAAGAAGAAGAAGAAGAAGAAGGACGAAATTATCATACAAGGGCCACAAAGAGGATCAAGTATTTGGATGAAATGTTGTAGGAACACGTGATCCTTGGACGATGAATAACATCTTCGAAGATCAATAATAGTGTTTTAACATTGAATGTTCATCATTCCACGAGTATCAAGAATACCAACTGCCAATCATACGTAATCGTCGCCGTTCGCAAAGGATCGAGGAGATTTTCCCCTCGAGGAGCGATTTTGGGGATGTCAGCCGGCGTTTGGTAGCGAACTTTCGAAAAAATCAAGTGAATTGCGCGTGTAGTTTTTTAGGGAGAGAAACATCGGATAGATTGGTAGTTGGAGGGGGGCGAGGGGGGCAGTAAACAGGGCCAAAGAGGAGAAGAAGAAGAAGAAGAAGAGTACGTGCATGCGTTAAAAGAGTGTGATAGAGGTGGAGAAGATCGAACGAAGAACAGAGACAGTGAGGAGCGAAGAAGAGGGATCGTCGAAGGGGGAGAGAATGATAACGATGAGACGGGCATAGAGGGAGAAAGTAAAGAAACGTAGGAAGGAAGGAAGGAAGGAAGGAAAGAGATAGAGATAGAGGGAGAGAGAGAGAGAGAGAGAGAGAGAGAGAGAGAGAGAGAG